GCAGGTGGTGAAATTCAAACTGAATTAACATGAACAGGGAACAAGAGTAGGCCACTCAGTTCTTCAGTCCTGCTTTGCTAGTCATAAACATCATGATTTTACCCTCAACTTTACATTCCTGCACAGCGCCCCCATAATCTTTTATCCCCTGGGTAATCAAGAATATATTCATCTCTACCTTAAAAATACTTAAAGATTCTGCATCTGGTGCCTTTTGAGGCTGGGAATTTGAAAGACACTTAACCTTCAGGGGGAAAAAAAAAAGTTAATTTGTCTTAAATAGTTTGAGTCCAAGGCTGTCCTTCCCGATTTCCCACTCCAGCCTCCAAACCCACCAAACACCAGGTCACCATTCATCACTCAGACTGAACAGCTCCCTCCAGAAATGCTGCCAGAGGATTTGCTTTCTAATATTGTAATTCACATTTTTATGCAATAGTTGTTCAGGTTCATTTATTGCACAAAGCTACGCTTTTTTATTAGAAATTTGGTTTAATGCATATCCTTACCGTTGTCAAGGACCATTTTCCTGCCGTATCATCATACTGATAGAATAATTTGTCTAACGTAGCCTTGAATATACTTAATGGGCTCAAAAGGGATGACTAAAGGCTTTTAATTGAGTATGCAAATTATTCTCTCTAGGGATATGTCCACGATGGGGGGAGGCCGGGGGAGCATGTACGGCGTGTGTGTGTGTGTGTGTGCGTGCGTGCGCACGCGCGCGCATGGGCAGTGTTAGTGGTATGGGGAAGAAAACTTTGAAAGTTGTAGTTAGGCCATGAAAGGATGATACATGAAGGATAGTGGAAATCTGGAACCAACTCTCCCAATAAACCACAAACTGAAAGTTTCAAAACAGGCGCAGACATACCTCTTTAATGTTTGAACATTCTACACATATTGTCTTGTAAGTAGAACTGAAGTCTACAGGATAAAGAGGACAGCAGCAGCTTGGACATGAATTGGCTAAGGAATAGAAAATAGTTCTGGTAAATGCCCACTTTATACACCAGAATGATGTATACAGTGGTGTTCCAAAGGTTCCACTATCAGGACCACAACTGTTCTTTAAATGTATCTGTGAATTGGACCCAGAAGTTCAGGATAGAATTTTGAAATTTGCAGATAACAAAATTTGAAAGTTTAGCAAACAGTGAGGGAGTCTGAATTTCATTTGTCATGCCTACACATTTGGAAACGTGAGAGATGGAACATTGTCAGGAAAAATGAGGGATAATGCAAACTAAGTCAATTTTGAAAGGACTGTAAGAAGAGAGAACAGGAATGCCTATGCACAAGCCTCCGAAGATGATGGCACTCTATTTATATAAAAGGTAGCAGACAGGTCAAGAGGTCATGGTAAAACTGATATGAATCTATTTGATCAATTCAGCTATGGTGGAGTGTCCATTTCTGGTCACTACACAAATGAAACTGCATGAAGGTTTGAAAAAGGTAGAGAAAACATTCACTACAATGATTCCAGGGATGAGTAATTATAGTTAACTCAATCATGGATAGATTGGAGATGGCGGAATTATTATGCTTAGATCAGAGGTGGTTATAAAAAGGAAATTTGATAAAGGTGTTGAAAATCGTGACAGACTTAAACAAAATAAAGAGGAACTTGTTCCAATGGCTAGAAGGTTGATAACCATAGGATACAGATTTAAAGTAAAGGCAGAATAACAAGGGAGGCAGGAAGAAAAATTTTTACACAAGTAGTTAGGGTTTGGAATGAATGGCCTGACAGTTTCATATACAGATTCTGTAACAGCCTTCGAAAAGAAATTTGGATAATTACTTGGAGAAAAAAATGCAGTGTTAAGGAAATAATTAGTTGTCTGTGAAACAGCTGGTGCAGATTTGATAACCTGAACAGCCTCCTCCAGTGTTATAATGTTCCATGTCTCAGGGATCACAGAACAAGAAAAGTTAAATAGAATTAAGTTACAGATCATAAAGACATAGGAGCAGAAGTAGGCCATTCAGACCATCCAGACTGCTCTGCCATTCAATGAGATCATGGCTAATCTGCTAATGCTGAATGCCATTTTCCTGCCTTATCATCATACTGATAGAATAATTTGTCTAACTTAGCCTTGAATATACCTAATGTCCCAGCCTCGTAGGCCTTTTGCAGTAAAGAATTCCACAGATTCACTATCCTCAAGAAATTCTTCCTCAACTCACTCCTGTGATCCCTTCCTCAGATTATGCATCTTAGTCCCAGACTCTCCCACATGGGAGAAAACAATCTCTCTGCATCTGTCCCGTCAAGCCCTCAATAACCTTATTTCACTAAAGTATCCCCTCGTTCTTTTAGGTGCCAACAAATACAAGCCCAACGTACTCAACCTCTTCTCATAAGAAAATTCCTCCATACCTGGAATCAACTTAGTGAACCATCTCTAGGCTTCCTCCAATGTCAGTATATGTTTCCTTAGATAAAGGGATCAAACTGTTCAGTATTTTAGGTTTGGTCTGACTAGTGCTTTGTATAGTTTTAGCAAGACCCTCCTTTTTTTTGTACTCCATTCCCTTTGAAATAAAGGCCAAGATTCATCAATGAGGACCTGCAAATCCTGCTGTGCTGCAACTTACTGCAGATTTTTCTCTATTTAAACAATATTCAGTGCCTTCATTCTTCCTGCCAAAGTGCATAACTGCACATTTTCCCACATTATATTCCATCTGCCAAGTTTCTGCCCACTCACTTAACCTGTCTACATCCCTCTGGCATCCTCACTGTAACAAAAGCAGAAATTGCTGGCGAAACTCAGCAGATTTGGCAGCACCTTTGGGAAGAAGGCAGGATCAACATCTTGGGTCCAGTAATTCTCCAGTTGATATAGATGCAGATGATCTACATCATCTGAAATGTCACTGGATGCTAACCTCACCTTCTTCCCACAGGTGCTGCCAGACCTGCCGAGGTTCACCAGCAATCTCTGCTTCTATTTCAGATCCCCAGCACCTGCAGTTCTTCGTTTTGTATCATTCTCACTACTTGCTTTCCTTCCTTTTGGGGTTGAATAGACTCAAAGGGCCCAGTTTCCTCCTTGCCTATGCTCCATTAAGAAGTATTGCGATATTCGTGGATTACAGCATTTCATTGGCTACAGTAACGAAGAGCTATAGATTGTCTAAGGTAATGCTAATACTGATACATGTCAATAGTCAGACAGAAAGCAAAATATTTACCTGAATGTTTTGTGGCACTCTGCCATACCCATCACATCTTCAGGTTGGACTTGAGCCTGGACCTTGTCACCCAGAGATTAGGGCACTACCATAAGATTCTCAAGATACTTTCTTGTATAGAGTTTATGAACTACTCCACCTTTGGTTCCTTTCACACACCAATCCACTCTTCCCTTTTTAAATTTACTGGGCAGATTTAATCAATTAACTCTTAACATCTACTAAACTTCATTTACTACAACAAATCAAATCTTGTGGCCAATATGGGAAAATGCCATTAGTGCAAGCACATGATTGATAAGGACCTATTCACTGACAATCAACTTGAACTCTTGCTGAACCATTTTAGCTCCAGATCTCACAACAACCTTGCTTCAGATATGGCTGCAAAAGTTGAATGCTATGAGTGGTTGACACTGACATCCAAGCAAAAGGACAACAATGGGGTCCTAACTAAACAGAAGGTGAAAAGATAAAGGATGAGCTGGTTGCAGTTATATTTGGTATAAAAAGGAAAATGGTTGTCACAGAGCACAGAAACAGGCCCTTTGGCTTACCATGTCTATGCCCATCAACAAACACCATACTACAAAAATCCCATTTACCCACACTTGGTCCATAGTTTACTATGCCCTGGTATCTTAAGTGTGCATCCAGATGCTTTTTTTGCGAGAGTATCTGCCTCCACCACTGTCAGGCAGCACGTTCTCTGGGTGAAAAAGTTCTGGTTGACAGGGGCAAAGCATCACTCTTGGAACAACTCTGCAATTTCTCAGGGAAGCACCTTAGACTAGATGGCCTATTCTCCAGCAGAGGATAAAGAATGGAGCCATATTCTGAGTACCTTACACACACATTTCAAGGCTACACAGGAGTGCAGTGATACACAAAGCATGTGACTGATGTATACCTTCCTGTAAACAGAGCAATCTTGTCCCTGAGCTCACTAACTCTACAAGAGCAACTGGAAAGGACTATTAAAATATAGCTCTGCTAGCGTGACAGTGAAAATTGAATCTTGCCCTCACCAAATCTCGCGTGGAATCCATTAAATCACAAGTAGGATACAAAACCCTACCTTCCATGAGTGAAGGTAATTATAGAATCCCACATAAAGATCAACTAACAGCAATAATTTGAGGACCATTCTGATTAAATTTTAATCAAGCTAAAGTTAACTAAAGCAGAGATTTAACTGAAATTAAACAATAGTCGTAAAGTTTCCAGGGTGTGGCAAAAGGTTTACCTTGGCTGGTGCCTTCTTGGTTGGAGCTGCTGTTTGGATAGTACGCTGTTAAGAATCACAATGAGAAAGAGACTAAGTAACAACATTCAAACAACATTTGATTAAAACAAGGGTACATGTCACTTGGAGACTATCCAACTTGCTTCAGTTATTATTTCTACAAATTAATTGGTATGCTGGACAATTCCATGTCTGCCAGACTCTATTCTTTTTATTGTCATTCATGTTATTGGCTGACTTCCTTCAATCCAGGAGAGGACAACAGTCTACTTCATTCATCCCTGCCAGTGAGCTTAAAACACACCAGACATGCAGCCAGTTCTTTGAGGGATTTGCACCACCCTTATACAAATCGGAGACTGTCCGTGTGAAAAAGCAAAAATTCAGCTAACTTGACTCTCCAAGTTCTCCAATATCTACCTTAGTTCGTGATGATCTCCTTAGTTCCTGCAAAACAAAAACGGACCGTTCAGAAAAAGGCAAGTCAGCTTTTATTGAATGAACATAAAACCTATTATATAAGAAAGGTACTTACTTCAGGTTTTGTAGTCACAACCTAGGACAATAAAGAGATGTGTTTTACTACAAGCTTTAAACAGTCATTCACTCCTACAGCAACAGCTTGAAAAAAAAAACTAAAAAACCCTCACATCAGTAATCATGCAAATTGGCTGTTGAAAACCCAAGTGTCCTCTGTATGCATTAGTGTGTCTCAGTCTAGATTAAAAGTCTGCATACATAAGGGCTCTAGTGGAGCAGTGCTAGTGTCCCCATCTCTAAGCCAGGAGGCCTAGGTTCAAGTCCTACTTGTCCTGGGGGTGTGTAATAATGTATCTAAACGGGTTAACTACGAAAATATCTAGAAGTATACAGAGATAGTAGGAACTGCCAATGCTGGAGTTTGAGATAACAAGGTGTGGAGCTGGATGAACACAGCAGGCCAGGCAGCAGAGGAGTAGGAAAGCTGATGTTTCGGGTCTGGACCCTTCTTCAGAAAAGGTATACATACAGTTTCAGTGAGCACAGGATTAGAATCAACTGCTGGCCGTCATTCATTTTAGGTGTGTATGTGAAAATGTAGGGAATGAAGACTGATTTCAAATCACAATATTTCAACGGTTCAAAAAAAGTTCACCTTTTAAAAAAGTTGCAAAACTAACTTCAAACAATCCAGTTTGAACACCAAGAATATAAACAAGCTTTTAAAAATAGTTAGATAGCACTCTTCTGGAATCAAAAATTTAACAATGGACACAGGCATTAACACCAATTTGATCTGTGGACCACACCTACTGTGATCTAGTTTTAACTTTGAACATGTCACACAGAAACCCTCCATCTATTTAGGTAGATTGAATCCAGTTTTGTTCTATGTTACCTCAGTTTGTAACAATAATTTATCAGATTTCAAGAACTAATCTTCAGAAAGCCATTACATATCTCAGGACTGCATCAAAGTAGAATAGAAATATGCTCCAGAGCATTCAACTACATATCGTTGAGTGCTAACAAAAGAAAAATGGAGTTTGCTTTCCCCCACCCACGTATTATATCCGAAATACCTACTACACATAACAAACTATCTAATGTATCCGTTTGGACCAAGGGTTATGTTTAAATGAATAACTTGGGCTTAAAAAGCCCCTCTGCAGTAAGCACATAAAAATTACTTTAAACAGATCACTATTGTGACAATTAATAACGTCACATAATCACAACATTTATCTCCAATTCCTCATACAGCATGTCCAGTGCTTTTAAAATGCAATAATGAACTGATGTACAAATTATGAATAAAAATGTTAAATAGAAACAATTCTATGTACAGGCAGTGTTCAATTCAAGCATCTTGAACTCCCCAAATTCAGACAGTTTCTGAGTTAAATTAGCACTACACTTTAGGTGGTAGATCCACTACATTACTCACTCTTCTCACCTCCCATTAACCAGATTGTTAGTGGTACATTAATTGCAACAGGGACCTCTGATTATTTTAAATGAAAAAAATCATATGGTGTATGATGAAGAGCTGAAGTCAAATATTTTCCTTAATTTCAGTTGGATAACAACAAAAAGAAAACACATCAACTTACTTAAATGTGAATATCTAGGCAGACAGATTCAGATTGTCCTTTATGAGAATGTAAGATTTACTCAAACTATTAACTGGAGACAACGTATTGAAAATGTCAGATTTCAGAATTAGAAGCTACTTTCCGTGAATAGTTGACCCATTACGAAATTCCTTTTACGCCCAAACTTAAGAAATATAGCACGTTTCACCCTCAGAAAGTTCCAAATTCAATGAAGTACTTTTTAAATATCTAGGTATAGTCACTGTTGCACTATACAACAGAAGCATAACACAATAAGATGTAAACAGCAATGTAATAACACCCAGATAACTAGTTTTTCAGTTGTTGATTTAAAAGTATTGGCTAGGACACTGGGAGTACTCCCTGTTCTTCTTTGGATCATGTCATGCAATTTTTCCACCCACATGAAAGGATTACTATCACACCCCTCCAAAAACAAAAGCTCTGACAATTAAGCATTCCACCCATACTGACTGAGTATGTCAGCATCAACCTTGTGGCCAACTCTGGAGAGGGGTTTGAACATATCATTGTGAGTTTAAGGCAGATGCGCTCCCAATTGCATCCAGCCTGACATCTCATTGTATTTTTACTGATTGTGGTATTCCATTATTAAATGAAGATTTTGCTCTAGGCCACACTGTGATATTCATCATACTAAAGATTATTCAAATAGCTACTTCTAGAGGACAAAGTACTGCAGTCAACAGCTAGCCATGGTGAGGATGTGTAATTGAGCTAGAGTTCAATCAACAAGTCACTGAGACTGACAAAGCTAGAGCTCAGTCAAGCAATCAGACTGCAAAACAGTGAGGAGAGACGATGGAGGGGGTGCTGAGCATTGTAGATGTTCATGCAGTTCTAAAGGTCTCTTAACAATAATCACCATAAAGCGGCATGTAAACAAGGAAGAGTGATGGGTTAGATCCTTGGGAGGAGACTATGCAAGATTGTACAGAACAGACGTAATTTTATTTGACAAGAATTTGAGAGGATCATGTGGGAGAATCACTTGATTTTAATGGTTTGTAAATATACTGAGACTTATTAAATATAGCTTTCTGATATTAAAACTAACTATGGAAACTTTCAGATTGCTACAGTGTGGGCAGCATTAGCTTTGGCTTCAACATCACATCCTGTTTATGGGAATGAGGGGTGTAGCAGTAATGTCACTAGACTAAAATCCAAAACCTAAGGTAACATTCTGGAACATGGATTCAAATTGCATCATGTCAGATTGTAAAACAGAATTCAATGGAGAGTAGAGAAAATGTTAAAATCAATTATAAAGGATCTGATAACTGGATATATAAGGAAATAAGGGTGAAATTGAGCAGCCATCGTGGATTATGAAAGGAAAGTAATGTTTGACAACTGTTGGGAGTTTTGTTTTAAAGAATTTTAGTGGTAGCAAAGATAGAATAGGACCAGTGGATGCAGTGTATTTGGATTTCCAGAAGGCTTTTGATAATCTTACAATTCTACACATAAGGTTTGTGAACGGTAGCAGGGCAAAGGTTTGGGACAGCACGTTGGCTCAGTGGTTAGCACTGCTGCCTCACAGTGCCAGGGACCAGGGTTTGAATCCACCCTCAGGCGACTGTCTGTGTGGAGTTTGCACATTCTTCCCATGTCTGTGTGAGTTTCCTCCAGGTGCTCTGGTTTCTTCCCACAGTCCAAAGATGTGCAGGCTAGGTGGATTGGCCATGCTAAATTGGCCAGTGTTCAGGGATGCCTAGATTAGGGGGGTTATATGGGGATGGGTCTAGGTGGGGAGCTCTGAGAGTTGGTGTGGACTTGTTGGGCCAAAGGGCCTGTTTCCACACTGTGGGGATTCTATGATGATCTATGAACAAAACTAGAGGACAAGGGATTAGACTTGACTGAGAATTGATTAACAAACAGAAAAGGGACAGTAGGAATAAATGGGTCATTCTTAGGGTTGCAGGCTGTTACTAGTGGGGTGCCACAGGATGCAATGAAGGCCACAGCTGTTCACAATCCATATAAATGGAGTTAGATGTTGGGACCAACTGTAATATTTCCAAATTTGCTGATACAAAAAACTAGTGGAGAATGCATGCAGAGGAAGTAGCAAGGAGGTCTCAAATGGACTTTGAGGGGCTAAATAATTGGGCAAGACGTGGTGGATGGAATAAAACGTGAAGTGTGAAATTATTTGCTTTAGTAGAAAGACAGAGGCAAAATATTTTGGTAATGGTGAGAGTTTGTCAAGTATTAGTTATCCTCAGGGACCTGGGTGTCATTGTACATGAGTCACTAAATAGCAAGATTGAAAGTGCAACAGTCAATAAATAGTATGTTGGCCTCCAACACAGGGGGATTTAAGTACAGAGTACAAGGCTTTCTGCAATCATATAAACCCGTGGCAAGTCTGCACCTGGAGTACTGTGTACAATTTATGTCCTTCCTTGAATAAGGAGACTACTTACTATACAGAGTGCAATATAGGTTCAAAAGATTAATCCCTAGATGGCAGGATTGTCTTATGAGCAGTGATTGAGGAAACTAGCTATGTACTTTCTACAGTTGAGAAAAATATCAGCGATCTCATTGAAATTTATAAATTTTTTTTAACAGGATGTGACAGAGTAGTCATACACAGCAATTTCCCCTAGTTAGTAGTTCTAGAACCAGGGACATGGTCTCAGAATAAGGGTTGCCCATTTAAGACTGAGCTAAAGGGGAATGACTTCACTCAGAAGGTAGTAAATCTTTGTAATTCTCTACCTCAGAGGGCTGTGGAATTCGAATCATTGAGCATGTTTAAATCAGAAATCAACAGACTTTGGGAGACTAATGACATCAAAGGGGTAGCAGTGCAGGAAAGTGATGTGGTAGATGATCGGCCATGATCAAATTTCGTGGTGGAGCAGGCTCAACAGGCTAAACTGCCTTATCCTGTTCTAGTGTTCCCTATGGTAACCAGAAACAATGGCCAAGCAGTGATGGGCTGGAGTTGTTTCTGAACATTAGCTAGAGTAAGGGAGAGAGTGACCCAAATTAAACAGATTAACCAAATGAACCCAGATCCACCTGAAAATGCTCAAAGAGAGACAGAGGCTTAATCCAAGGTACCAGTTCACACTGGTTACTTATTTCCTGTTACAACTTGCAACTTAAAAGAGAAGTTTCATTTTCTGAAAGCAGTTAGTGATGCATTTGCAACATAGTGGTGTCTGCATTCAATGCACATCAACTGCAAACAACACCCACTCCCAGAATTTATCATCTCATTACAAATCATACTAAGTTCCACTTTCAAGTGGTTGTATTTGTTTTTCTGTGGAAACATGAGGCAAGCTTCTGGCAAGTTATAAGCATTGGTGCATTCCGCTTACACTCATTTCCCTTCATACACCAAGGAACATAGGAGACAATCTCACGACCCGTCAAGGTTACGAGTATTAAAGTAGTTTAAATCAAAAACCAGAACAAGAAGTGGCAAATTTTCTGGGATTGGAATGAATTTAAACAAATGTCAACCTACTTTTGGAAAACTCTCTTATAGACATGACAGACCTTGTTTCACTTTTCTGAAACACGTTTTCACAACCTCTGCCAATCTCTGTGACAGAAGACTACTACCAAATAATAGTGAAGAACTTGAACAGGCACGGACAGAACAGTTTCCTTAATCCTATTACGCTGTTATCACAAATTTTAAAATTCAACACCAGTTTTAACCCCTTTCTTGCCAATCCATCAGATCTGTGTTACTGGCACAAACAAGCTTAAACTGTGTACAAGACAACAAGGTGCAGGGCTGGATGAACACAGCAGGCCAAGCAGCATCATAGGAGCAGAGAGGCTGACGTTTCGGGCCTAGACCCTTCATCAGAAAAGGGGGAGGGGAAGGGGGTTTTGAAATAAATAGGGAGAGAGTGGGAGGCGGATAGAAGAGGGATAGAGGAGAGGATAGGTGGAGACGAAACAAACAGGTCGAAGAGGCGGGGATGGGGCCAGGAAAGGTGAGTGTAGTTAGGGAGTTAGGAAGGGGATAGGTCAGTCCAGGGAGGACGGACAGGTCAAGGGGGCGGGATGAGGTTGGTCGGTAGGAGATGGAGGTGCGGCTTGAGGTGGGAGGAGGGGATAGGTGGGAGGAAGAACAGGTTAGGGAGGCAGGGACGAGTTGGACTGGTTTTGGGATTCGGTAGGAGATGGAGGTGCGGCTTGAGGTGGGAGGAGGGGATAGACCGACCAACCTCATCCCGCCCCCTTGACCTGTCCGTCCTCCCTGGACTGACCTATCCCCTTCCTAACTCCCTACCTACACTCACCTTTCCTGGCCCCATCCCCGCCTCTTCGACCTGTTTGTTTCCTCTCCACCTATCCTCTCCTCTATCCCTCTTCTATCCGCCTCCCACTCTCTCCCTATTTATTTCAAAACCCCCTTCCCCTCCCTCTTTTCTGATGAAGGGTCTAGGCCCGAAACGTCAGCCTCTCTGCTCGGCCTGCTGTGTTCATCCAGCCCTGCACCTTGTTGTCTCGGATTCTCCAGCATCTGCAGTTCCTACTATCTCTAAACTGTGTACAGATGTTTTCAAAGTCCCTTGGATTAATAACGACTCCTAATCATTCCTTGGTAAACAGGAGCCAAAATTACCACCAAACATTTCTAAAGAAACTATACGTAATGATTTACGGTGACACGAATGAAAAAAACACTGCACTCCGAGGGAAATATGCCATGAATATACACCTATACCACTGGCGAGCAGAATCGGGAGGAGCAAGGAGGACGTTGCCCCTGGGGCTGGAGAGGCAACACTGAGGCCCGCAAAAAGGGCAAGAGCAGGATGGGCGTGGCTCAGCAAGAGAGAGCGACGTCGCGCGGAGAAATCAGGGGGTCACTAAGGGGGCGGGGCCGCTGGGGAAGCGCAGGGAGGAGGGGGCGGGGCTGTGAAAACCAGGGGCGGGACCAGAAGAGGGGGCGAGGCTCTGCGCACGCGATTCTAACTGAACCGACGCCAAGCGCGCTCCCGGTCTCCCGCCACCTCGCTTCAACCTGACGGTTGATAGAAATACGGAGCTAAAAACTGTCGCCTCCTACACCGCCCATCTCCTGCGATCGGGGTGTAAACTCCGGCCTAGCGTTGAGTTCGAGTCATTAAATCGGGTTAAAGCACACAGCTTAACATCGGGGCCCGCCCAATGTTCGTGGGACAATGATTAACGAACTCACCGCTTTGCGTGGCATATTGGCGGAGAGTTGAACGGGCGGCAGTAAGCTGAAGGCGCAGATTCTCAGACTGGGATCAATGTCAACAGATCCTCTCAGCACTGCTTCTCTCTCCGACTGCCCGCGGCCTGGGAACCGGTTCTAACCAGCTGCCCATCCTCAGCCTCCATTGGTCGCACTGGTCACGTGGGATGCGTACCCCGCGGGGAGGGGAATGGAGGGCTGTTTAATTCTGTGTAATGGCCAATAGACCTGGCCACCAAAAGATTTCCTTATCACTTCTTGCTGCTTTGGGACCTTGCGGTATGCAAGTTAGCTGGTAGATTTCCCGAATTTGCAGCAACGATTACACTACTAAGTACTCCATTAAAACATTTTGCAACATCCTGCGATAATAAAAGGCGCCAAACAAACGTAGACGCTATTTATTGGCCAATTTCCCGCTTCAAAAGCCAACTTATACTAATTATAGTAAGCTTGCGTCAACCTGAGAACTAACTGTGCCGGAACCCAAACGCCAAAACTCTCCTTTAGCACCTGTATTTGTAAGTGTGCAAGTGTTATGCGAACTCTAAATATTCTTTGATTTATTGCTATCACGTGCACCTAGGTACAGTGAAAAGTGTTGGCTTACATACTTTACGGGCAGATCGTACTGTACAAGTGGATCAGAGTAACAGAAGAGACTGCAGGATACGATGTTACAGCTGCCGAGAAGAATCAGAGAGATTAATATTTAAGAAGTCCATTCAAAAGTCTGACAACTGCGGCAAAAACCGTTCTTGAATCTGTTCGTACGTGTATTCAAACTTTTATATCTTCAGTCCAACGAAAGAGGGTGGAAGAGAGTATAATGGGCGTGGGAGAGGTCTTTGATTATGTTGGTTGCTTTCTTGATGCAGCAGGAAGTATAGATGGATTCAATGGATGGGAGGCTGGTTTCCATGATGGACAAAGTTGTGTTCCTGACTCTGTAGTTTCTTGCGGTCTTGGGAACAGCTGTTGCCATACCACACTATGATGATCCAGATAGGATGCTTTCTATGGTGCATCTATAAAAATATGTTAAGCCTTTATGGATGTGTTGAATTTCACTAGCCTCCTGAGGAAGTAGAGGCATTGATAACACAGTGTGGAGCTGGAGGAACACTGCAGGCCAGGCAGCCTCAGAGGAGCAGGAAAGCTGACATTTCGGGTCAGGACCCTTCTTCCGGCTTCGCAGTGGGGTTATAACTCACTCAGAAGACCCAAAACGTCAGCTTTCCTGCTCCTCTGATGCTGCCTGGCCTGCTGTGTTCCTCCAACTCCACACTGTGTTATCTCCAGCAGCGGCAGTTCTTACTATCGTTAAGTAGAGGCTTTGTTGTGCGTTTTTGGCCATAGTGTCAACATGGGTGGACCAGGACAGATTGTTGGTGATCATCACTTCCAGGAACTTGATGGTCTCAACCATCTCTATCTTAGCACCATTGATGCAAACAGGGGTATGCCCTCCACCCCACACCTAGCTGATTCACCACTATGGTGGAGTTCTAATACCAGGTGCTGACAGCTGTACTTTATTATCTGGTCTGTAACAAAGCCTTAATTTCAAACCACTGTCAACTTGAATCACAGCCATTTAGCTCATTGTGCCTGCACTGGTTTCTATTGCCAAGTGCCAATCTCCTGCTTGTTCCCATATCCCTGCATACCATTTCTATGTCAATAATCATTCATTGCCCTCTTGAATACCTCAGTTGAACTTGTCTTCAGCAAATTTCCAGCATTCTCACTGTTTATCTGTATTTTCAATTTGTAACAGTTATACTTTGTTAAAATGGAAATGTGGGTGCATCCTGTACCCTAACACCTCACTGTGTGAAAAAAAAAACTCATGTCACCCTTGTTTTGTTTGCACATTCAGTATGAACATAAACTGTACTGGGGTCCACAGGTAAAGTGAGTGCAGCTCTTAAGAACTAGTATTTCAAGATGAACAGTTTTCTGGCATCAGAAACTTACATGTCCAATCTGCAACAACACTTATTCAGCTACCACTTTCTTTGAATTATTTAAAGTTCAGCTCCGTAATTGATTTTGGAGAAAAATATTGCTACATATTTTAAGAAGCTCAATAATTTCATCTTGTATTCAGAAAAAAATTGTCACAAAGTACAAGAGGGATATAAATTTAAAATGTAAAAGCCAGAAATAACTTGAAAACATCTCACAAAGCACTGTTACAGAGATAGTAGGAACTGCCGATACTGGAGAATCTGAGATAACAAGGTGTAGAGCTGGATGAACACAGCAGGCCAAGCAGCACCAGAGGAGCAGGAAAGCTGACGTTTCGGGTCTAGACCCTTCTTCAGAAATGGAGGAGGGGAAGGGGATTCTGAAATAAATAGGGAGAAAGGGGGAGGCGGATAGAAGATGGATAAAGGAGCAGATAGATGGAGAGGAGACAGACAGGTCAAGGAGACATGTTTGGAGCCAGAAAAGGTGAGTGTAGGTGGGGAGTTAGGGAGGGGATAGGTCGGTCCAGGGAGGATGGACAGGTCAAGGTGGCGGAATGAGGATAGTAGGTAGGAGATGGGGCTGGGGCTTGAGGTGGGAGGAATGGATAGGTGGGAGGACAGGTTAGGGAGGCGCGTACGAGCTGGGCAGGTTTTGGGATGCAGTCGGGGGAGGGGAGATTTTGAAGCTTGTGAAGTCCACATTGATACCATTGGGCTGCAGGGTTCCCGAGCGAAATATGAGATGCTGTTCCTGCAACCTTCAGGTGGCATCGTTGTGGCACTGCAGTTACTGTCGTAACTGAGCACCATGTTGAATATTTTCCGTCCATTACCACCCTTTGTCTTCTAAGGGTCAGCCAATTCTGAATCCAATCTGCCACATTTCCCCCTATCCCATGCCTCCTTACTTTCTGCATGAGCCTACCATGGGGAACCTTATCAAACGCCTTACTTAAATCCATGTATACCACATCCAATGCTCTACCTTCACCCACGTGTTTCATCACCTCTTCAAAGAATTCAATAAGGTTTGTGAGGCATGATCTACCCCTCACACATCCATGCTGACTATCACGAATCAAACTGGGACTATCCAAGTGATCATAAATCCTATCTCTCAGAGCCCTTTCCAATAATTTGCCCACAACTGAAGTAAGACTAACAGGCCTGTAATTTCCAGGGTTATCCCTATTCCCTTTTTTGAACAAGGGAATGATGTTTGCCACTCTCCAATCTTCCGGCACTATACCCGTGGACAGTGAGGATGGAAAGATCATCGCCAAAGGCCCTGCGATCTCTTCCCTCGTTTCCCATAGAATCCTTGGATAAATCCCATCAGCCCTGGGGGACTTATCTATCTTCAAGTTCCTCAAAATTCCTAGTACATCATCCTTAATAACATCCACCTCCACTAGCCTACCAGCCCGTTTCACACTGTCCTCCCCTACAACTAGGTCCCTCTCAGTTGTGAATACCGAAGAAAAGTATTCATTTAAGGACCTTTCCTATCTCTTTAGCCTCCGTGCACAAATTCCCTTTATAATCCTTGATCGGCCCCTACCCTTTCTCTGGTCATTCTCTTATTCCTCACGTACGTGTAAAAAGCCTTGGCGTTTTCCTTGATCCTATCTGCCAAGGTTTTCTCAAGCCCCCTTTTTAGCTCTCCTCATTAACCTCTTTTTAGCTACAGCTTTGTTATGGTGCCTTGATACCAGGCCAGTTACTCTCACATCATCTCTGGAATTCATTCTGTGTTCATATCTAACTGCAGGCTGTGATAAAATGTGAATTTGAGAAATTCTATCAGGATTAAATCTAAAGTTATTGGTGAGTCAATGTTGCTTAACACAACTGTTGATAACTCCGTTCATTGTTCTGATTATCATTGGCAGGAGGCTGCTAGGGTGATAATTGGCTGGGTTGGATTAATCGTGATCTTCAACTTTTAAATGAGACACATTTAAAGGTGGTCTTCCACATTGTCAGGAAGTTGCCAGTGACTTAGCTATAATATACTGAAACAGCTGGCTTCAGAAGACAAATTTTCAGTCTGCAGCTGAGATATTATCTTTGCTGTATCCAGAGTACCACTGCATCCTAATGTTATGTGGAATGACTTGAATCAACTGAATTCTGGCACGTATGGCAGATGGTGCTTACAAAAGCTTCAGCATTGTAAATTGCTCATCAATACTGAGGCTCTCCATGTTTGAGAAATGGACTCCTGTTAGGTGCCTGATTGTCCTCTATTGTTCTTGGCCTGGACATGAATATCTAAACAATGATGCAATTGTAAAGATCCCTTGGTCCAGGCTGTCGCACAATGGCTACTGCAGAGATGACCATTTGACCTCTCATACTCATGTCAGCTTTCTATAATTGTGTTATATATACACTCAACCCTCCCAAAACCACACAATCTCCCAGGAGAGGTGAAAAACCAATATTTGCAGGACTTCGTAAAGTTAATTCATGGGATGTAGGCATCACAAGCTAAGTCAGCATTTATTGTCCATCCCAAATTGCCCTTAAGAAGGTGGTAGTGAGCTGTTGTCTTGAATCTCTGTAGTACATAGGATATTGGTATATCCACAATGCTGTTAGAGAGGTTCCAGGATTTTGACCCCACAACAGTGAGGAATAGCAATTTAGTTCTAAGTCAGGGCGTTGTGTGGCTGAATTGGCATTCCTCAATTAGTCTTTATTTGTCCAAGGGGCTGTTTATTTCTGCAAGATTGTTGTTTCTAAAAATATTCCCACCAGTAAGGTGAAACAGACTGCATTCACAATGAGCATTAAAGTTCCCTTCCTTTCTTCAGACCTTTCTCCAATTGGTATTCAACACAGACCAGTACAGATTCATCAGTTGAGAATGGTAAGTGGTAATCAGCAGGATACTTGTCCACATTTAGTCTGAAGCCCTGAGACTTCTTTGGGTAGAGACAATGCTGAGGATCCCACAGGCCACTTACTCCCAAGTATACCGTTCCACCATTATCTCTACTGGCTCTGAACAGGGTACTCCCAAAATACTTGATGAGTCTGGGGATGTTGACTAATGGATCCTTTCCATCTGATAATTCTGTACATCAGACTTGTTTGATTAGTCTGTGGAGTAGCACTTCCAATTTTACTCCCAGTCTCCAGCTGCTGGCGAGA